TGGCCTTAGACTAAGAATAGCTAAGAGCGTTGTTATGATCTGGCCTTAGATTAAGAATAATTTAAGAGCACTGTTGGATTAATATCTGAATTGAATAAAATGTGTTGATATGAACTGAATAATACCAAAATTGTGAATGTCTGAAATGAACATTGTGTGCATGATATCAAATGATTTGATTATGAATTTAGATTCAGTTTATATGGATGTTCGACACATTAGATATGCTTACTCAGCTTTACCGCTGAGCGTGTAGTGTGTTTTATTTGCTACACGCAGGTAAGCAGAAAGCACAATGTGATCCTGGCGGCAGATGGGGCGAGATTGTCGGGATGGATGTGACAAGTTTTGAAACAATTTATGATATGTCAATATTAAAATCGCTTCCGCAATATTGTTGAATACTCCGTACTGTATATGTTATGAAAAATATTATTGGGATTAATAAAGTGTGTTTGAAAAGTTTTAAATTTTTACGATTACCAAGTTAAATACTTTAGTCCGAATGGGGCTGCAGACCTGGACGGATTAGGGTGTTACATGGATAACGCAGCGGAAAACAAAAATTTATAGTCCAAAACTCGATTCCACCCAAGAACAACTTACGTAAATTACTACCTATAGTAAGAAATTTACCTTAACGGTGAAAATGGAGAACGGAGGAACGGTCGGGGATGTTTTGAGGAGATGAACGTAGCGCCAAACGTATGAAGCCTCCAACGTATCCACACGAACTTGCTCCGGAGTCCAAGATTAAACTTGTGCTTGCAAGTTTAATATAGCATAGTAAAAACTATAATAATACTACTTTGGGAGTAATAAATATATAGTAAAATATTTATCTAATAAATATTTCTTTATAATACTTTGTGTATATTTCTAACACTTTAGAAAAATAACTTTGAACACAAAATGGGATTTTTCTTCTCTCTTCCTTGTGATGGCCGAATAGTTGTGTGCAAAAGAGGGGAGGGATACATCTTATTTATAAAACACTACTTTAAAAGAATTTCTAGGAAATTCATTAGGAACAAAAACAAATAAAGATTAGTGCAATGTCTCCAACCAACACAACAAGACAAATGTCCTTTTGTTAATCAAATATTTGATTATATCAATCAAATATATCATTAGGTAGAAAATCAATTTATGTCTTGTATTTTTCCCTTTGATATTTTCGGCCATCTCATATTAAAATGCATTACATTTTATTTTGACATCAATAATTATCATATAATTAAAATGATGAAAATTAGAATTATATATATATATACACATTCGGCGCTACAGATATATATATATATATATATATATATATATATATAATTTGTTTTGTCAAAATACAATTATCATATAATTAAAATGACACAAACAAAATATAATTTTAAAATACATATGTAATTTTGAAATACATATATATGTATAAAATTATCACAACTATATATTTAATATTACTCCCACTAGTGTAGTATACTACTCCCTTACAAGTCCTAAGTGTGTGACCCTTTATATATCCATAACACTGGCAATGATATTAATATAAATTAATACCATAGATAATAAGCGGTATCTAGCAACACATTATTATCCCCAGATTATGAAAAAGACGTTCATCTCATCAATACCTTCTACGACACAAGAGGTTCTATAACTATTATCCTTGTGTCCTAAATATCATGATTTAACACAAGGCATGGGATGTGTATCCTTGTATAATTAAATCAGCTGTTACTGAATCTCAAGTAGACTGGCAGGGATCAGATATTTATCAGTCTCTAGATAGCGACATATCTGGGCATGGCCATGCACTTTCCCAAGTCCTACTATTCAGTGGGCCCATTGACATTATACTTCTATACAGTAGAAGGGACAGATCCTGTATATGTTATTCACATCTCTAAATATGCTTAGCGGCATACCCAACGCATAAATGTACGTCTACCAGTATTTTAGATAGCATTAGTTATGAATCAAAGCATACGGCCCCACATATCAGAGAATGTAATAACTTCAAGTCTGAGGATAGTTATAGCAAGGTCGATTTGAGAATACTGATAAACACATTACTGTAGATCCATGCAGTATTCTCAAGATGGGTCAATCCAGTCACATATTATCGATATAATATGCA